ACCACTGTATTTTGTGTTTAAATTTGTGAATAGTCATGAAAAGCTTTAAAAGTCCAAACTGTCTGCAAAGTGCAATAACAAACTCGTTAATAAAATGTTTGACCAAAGAACAATGTAGAAACATTTAAATCCTTTAATAAAGTTCCTTTAGACTTTATATCTTAGTACAGGGATAGAAACTGGAAGGCAAGTTCCTTTTATTTCTTGGAAAGGAAGTTGCTTTATTGTTCAGATCTGATTCTGTCCAGGCCTGTGGTGATATCTGTTAAAGCTTTTCTAGCTGCTCTGAACTGCCCCTTTTTTCTCAGCTTTGAGTAACTTGTTGGAAGTCACTGCTTGTCATGGTTTGTTGGGGTTTTTGTTGTTGTTTTTTGTGAGCCACTATCCCTATATGAAGCCATATTTTGGAAAGGATTACTCATCCACACAGCGTAACATATAGTCTAGTTGGTCCTCCCCTTTAAAAGCAAGTAAAATCAGGTGAACTTTGCTTCTGTCTAAATGGGTTTTATTATCGACTGTTGCTGAACTTTGCTACTAACTGCCCAGACTTACTGTACTGACCAAAAGGAGGTACTGGAGTATGAATTATTGGCATATTTGTGGTACTGATAGCAAGGCCACAATGTGAATTGTCTTGATACTTCTATCCGCTGAATCAAAGTGAACCATGTCACACCAGAAGGACTATACTTGTTCTTCACATTTTGCTTACAATGTCATTTCCGCTTTATCAAGAACCTTTGTCCCTAAAGAGAGTGTTATAAAATTCTTTCCAGCTTCAAGGAGGCTAATTTTAGCTGGATATCATTTGGATGTCTGCCCCATTTTTACATTTTACAGTGCCTGTTCAGTTACAGCTGGGGCTGGTAAACAAGTGTGTAAGAAAAGAACACTTGGTTATTGTAACAGCTCACTGGCAGTGAGCAGAAAGCACACGTATTTAGCCATATTTTATTTATTCATTAAATGTCAGCTGTCAGCCTGAAAATACTAAAAACATCCTTGTCAGACTGAAAACAGGATTTACTTGTAGTGGAGTATTTTTAGAATGCTGTATTGCTGCATTTACTTGAGCAAAGGATCTGTAAACATCTTCAAACACTGAACATACTGACAGAGGAATTAGTTGCTGCTACTGTTTGTTACAAATGTTCTGCTCCAGACATCTTGTTTTTCATTTCAGAAGTTTAACTACTAGACAGAACATGTCTATCTACTTTTTCATAGAAAAGTCAGTTCTCGGTATGTGTTCTCTGGATGTTTCCACATCACAGCTGTGTAAGTAGACTTTTGGATCACAATTGGCATCAAAAACAATTTACGATACTACAAAATAATGCTCATATTTAAGGAGAACACAGAGAAACTTTAACCCTTCAACAGGTGACTGTGAAAATAGCCTTGAAATGTCTCAGTCTGCACAGTCAACCTGAAACATTTGAGTAAACAAACAATAAGCAAAACAATTTTAAATGATTGAAAGTTAAGCATCAACACACACACAGGTTTGTATCACAATCTCTGTGAGGACATTGATTGACATTCTCTAGCCCCTAACCTTATACCATCACAACTAAATGCCTAACCACAACCCTTGACCTAACACCTAACCTAAATCTAATTCTAACTTTAACCCTAAAACCAAGTCTTGACCCTCATGCAACCTTTTGAAGGGGTCTGAGAAAGTGAGGACCAGCCAAAGTGTCCTCACTTGCATGGTTTAAAATTCAAAGCAGTCCTCACACTGCTGGCCATACAACCCCCCATCACACACAGTTATTTTAGTTATGAAGAAGAACAAGAAGCAGCAAGCTAAATATAAATATCAGTCAGTACTTCCTAAAAAGGATGATAATACATGCAACAAAACCACATTCTGCTTCAGTGGGTACTGAAAGTAGCCACAGCATGTGCGCAGTGCTGCCTCTGACCACTAGATGGCGATGTGGGCCAGTCACTTGTTTTGACCTTGCTTTCTGAGGTGGGGAGACAGGATTTTTATTTTCTCTTTTGGTAGTGGTGGTGGTGGTAAAAGTATCACTCCCATTCACACTACTGTAGGTGCAGTGAGGGTTGCAGTCATTGATTTGCATGTTGTACAACTTTGTTGCATGCATTTCACTACATGAAACTATTATTTGCATTGTATTTGCATAATGGACACAATAACAGCACACTCCTTGTATGTTACACAGATCACTCATGGTTACCTCAGGCTCTTGGGTTATCTAAACATGTTTGTAATAAAAGCATACAGTAAAGTATATGTAATGAGTTCTTTTGAGTTCTTTTCTTACCAGAATGCAGCAGTTTAGCAATGCAAGTTAGCTTAGCATTAGCGCAGTGTTAAGGATGTCCTACTGGACAAAGTTTTATTGGTTGCTCTTTAATGAAAAAGACTATTATCTGTCACACTCATGCACACACACTGGCAGAGACAGGCTACAGTTACCTACAAATAGTCTAAATATAAAATGCAGTGTTGTCAAACCTGAAAAAAACCACACCTTATTTTGGTCTGGTAGAGAGGAAGCCACAGCAAGCTAGACATAAATGTCAGCCAGCAGATGCAAAATGTAGTTTTCTATGCTCTCCTTAATGTCATAACCACAGCTTGCACTGTCAGACTATAATTACCCTAGAAACAATTATGTTTTTATACATTTTGGAGATCCGAGGTCATCATATGTCACAACCATATAAAGATATTTGTTCCTGTCAGTAATTGTCATGCTAGGTTTTTCATCATATGAGAGAGACAGACAGCACTGTTTACTCTCAAATCATTGATCCAGTGATGGTCTGTAGTTGAATTAGGTGAATTTACAGTACTTGGTAGTTTTTGGCAGTTGAAGGCTGGTAAATTCCTACAGAAGGGAAGCATACAGTATGTGAGACAAGTACATGAACTGTATCCTCAAGAAAACTTCACTATAGAATATTGATATTCTAGTACTACCCTGTAGAGTATATACTTAGAGTATTTTTGTGGTAGGATTGATGATAGGTTTACGGTGACCTAATCAAAGTGAATGGCATTTTATGTCCTGTGGTATCACTACAAATAACAACAAGACGGTATATTGCACAGTATAGACAATATGAATTAAACCATGATATTTTGCATTTTCAAGTATAGGAAATTATATTTTCAGGCTTTGGCCAGTGCGTACTATTAGTCGGCTGATTTTGGGGGGCTCTGAGTTTTGCTTAGGGGAACTTAAGCAGATAAAGAATACAAGCCACGTTTGTTAAGGGTTTGCATTATAAGTGAATATTAGCAATGATAGTTTAACAGTTCCTATAGTTTATCCTTCTATACATCTCAGTGGAAAATAATTTAGTTTTACACAAATACATTTATTTGATAGCTACAGTTACTTATTACTTTATAGATTTTTACAAACAAAATATATGATGGGTAGTATATAAAACATGATGCAGTGTACGTAAAAGTATATAAAGTAATATGAGCTCCATTTCCAATAACTGTAACATTAGTTTTATATGTTTCAGTAATAAGTACTCAGATCCTTTACCTAATTAAAAGTAGTAGTACCACACTTAGAGGTCCAGCATTCAGATTTTTACTTGGCATCAAAATATACTTGGAGTGCCAAAAGCAAAAGTACTTCTTATGCACATTTGCACATTTACTGTACATTCATGTATATCATATAATTGGATCACTGTTATTATTGCATTTATTGTAGCTGGTAAAGTTGCAGCAACTACCATACATACCTATAGTTTGAAGTACTTTACAGATGCCTCAAAATTGTACTTAAGTACAGTTCTTGAGAAAATTTACTTAGTTACTTTCCACCACTGTAATACTTGGGGGCGGCTGTGGCTCAGGAGGTAGAGCGGGTTCGATTCCCAGCTTGTCCAGTCAACATGTCGAAGTGTCCTTGAGCAAGACACTGAACCCCCAGTTGCCTCCGGTGATGTCATCGGTGTGCGAGTGTTTGGGAGTGCGAATGGGTGAATGGCCAAATAGTGTGAAAGCGCTTTGAGTGTGCTATAAAGCATAGAAAGGCGCTGTACAAATATACTGTACCATTACCACTTTCAGTACATTTTGCTGATCATACTTAGTTAAATGAAGATGTGAATTGGGGGGCTCTTTACATTTCTGACCGGAGTGCTGCTTCCAGCACTACCAGTGGAGGTATCTTAAGGACAATTTTGAGGTATCTGTACTTGTGTTTTATTTAATTTTATTTTTTGCAACTTTATACTTTCTCTTTGGGGCAGCTGTAGCTCAGGGATAGAGTGGGTCGCTTCCTAACCGGAAGGTTGGCGGTTTGATTCCCAGCTTCTCCAGTCCGCATGTTGAAGTGTCCTTGAGCAAAACACTGTCGCTGATGTGCAAGTACATGGGATCATGAATGGTCAAATAGTGTGACAGTGCTTTGAGTGTGCTGTAATGCATAGAATAGCACTATACAAGTATAAGACCATTACTACTACATTTTAGAGGCAAATATTGTAGTTTTTACTCCAGTACATTTATTTGATAACTTTAGTTAATTTTTAGAATCAGGTCAATAAAACAAAATACAACATAATCATAAGAATTTATTGATCCCTGGTAAGAAATTCACAAGCTATCCAGCAGTATGTAAAGAATATAAGGTTTTTAGATAGTTAAAATGATCTCCACCTTTACCAGCTGCAACAAATGTAATATACACAATAATGCATTAGTAATATGATACAGACATGTGCCATTCTGCATAATGAGTACTTTAAGTGTATTTTGATGGTAATAGCTACTTTTGTAGGCTAGTTTTACACTTTGAATTCAGGACTTTTACTTGGAACAGTATTTATACTGCAGTATTGCTACTTGTGCTTAAGTAAAGACTGAGTTCTTCTTCCATCACTGCTCAGGATGCTGGTTTGTGTGTGTGTGTGTGTAAAGATCACAGTGATAGGTAAAGCCCAGCGTACACGCACTCTGTAAATGGGTTCCCAGTTCGGGTCAGGACCACCTCTCTGACTGGAAGCCAACAAGAAGAGGCAGAAACCCAGCCCCTCTATAAACCAGCAACAGGCGTCCGGGTTGCCACCCCTCTGCCGATTAGTTTGATTGCGATAAAAGTGACGAACTAAACCGGGGAATGGCTCCTGTACCTTTACCTCAAAAGCTATAAAATGCTATATCAATGCGGGTTGTTACAGTTTAACGCGGGTTTGTGTTCCACCTCCTCCTCCACGGTCCCCGGCTACTTCCTGGTGCCACAGAGAGAGGCAGTGCTGAGTTAAAGAGACAGAAATACTGATAAAAATTCAGATAGAAAAAAATACTGAGAGAAGAGAGGGGTCGGAGACGCGATAGGAGCAGTTGACTGGATCCCCAGAAATTGAAACCCCCCTCTCTCTCTTCTTATTTATATATATTTCTTTGTTTAACCGAGTCGTTATTTTTCGTTGGTTTGTAAACTAACAAACGGTTTGGATGACGGTTGGCTGCGGCTAAAGCGGAATTGTAACGGGGAGCATATTCCTCCCTCCGACGGAGAAGCCTCGCAGAGATTTTCCCTTTTTATTTTACAGTAGACTCATTTCTGTGTTATTTTGAACTACGACATCATACCGGGTGTTATTTTATACATTTTTTTACGATTCCACAAAGAAGGGTTAGGGCGACGGAAGATGGGTTGTTTGGGCAACAGCAAGACTGAAGATCAACGCATCGACGAAAAGGCACAACGAGAGGCAAATAAAAAGATAGAAAAACAGTTGCAAAAAGAAAGACAAGCGTATAAAGCCACACACAGGCTCTTATTACTGGGTAAGGCTGGTTTATATGTGGTGTGCTATCTGAAAATGTAAGCTAATCCCTTTCGCTTACCGAACACGTAACGTTAGCCCCATTTGACAGCGCTTGCAATAATATGTCATGGGGGTGGATATTGCTGGTGGAAGCTCCACCATAACGTACAAATTACTGGCTTTACTTCCAAAATATCTCGGGAGGTTTTACGCTAACTAGGATGGCCCTCCTTGTGGTCATTTGGTGATATTTTAATGTATTTTTTCGTCTATTTTCGAAGGTGCGGGAGAGTCCGGAAAAAGCACCATTGTGAAGCAAATGAGGATCCTACACGTCAACGGCTTCAACGCGGAGTGAGTGCTATTCCACACACCGATTAAACATCAGCATTACCGGCTCGAAATTGATATTAATGCTTATTATTATGGACTCCCTTTTAATAAACTGTGTCGAGGCTAGAATATAGCTTCGAAATGGATTTTCCCCCGCCACTGCAGCGCCTGTTGGGCCCAGTTTGCCATGCAAAGCAGCTAATATCTCTCCGCAACGTTTTGTGTGCATGTACAGTTATACATATGTCAGGCCCTCAGTGTCACACAGATGTCAGATAAGTCACCGTTTCCTGTTTGATGTGAGGGTGAAAGGTTGTGATCGACACAGGCCTATTGATTATTTGTTTTGCTGCAAGGCCTTGCATGGCATTGATCTTAGCAGTGGTCTATTTTAAAAAGGCCTAGTACATGTCAGTTTTGTAAATGTATGACTTTGTGTGAATTCAAATTATATATCAAGAGGAAGCAGGATTTTGGAGGACAGGAGGCAAGTTCTTAAATTTTTAGATTAAAAATAAGAACACTTAGAGTGCAGCATGTCATACCACTGTACTTTTGCACTTTACTGAACCCCAACTTGCATTTCACTGTTACCTGACGTCCGCTGGCACGTATTCCCAGCCTCCACACCTGTACTGTATGTACAGTTGTATTAGAATACAGTCTAACCTGGCAGTAACCCCTGTCTTACTCATAACCATCTTGATGAGAAATATTTTGTGGTCTGCTGTGGTTTGTTTTCCTAAGCGCTGCCTCACACATCTATTCTGTCCCCATATAGAGAAAAGAAACAGAAAATCCAAGATATTCGGAAAAACGTTAAGGATGCCATAGTGGTGAGTTTAATCTATATTGCTTCCCAAATATATTCCATGTCTCTGTTGTTACACTGAATCCCACTGTAGTTTCATTCCACGGATTATTGTACAGGCTTTTTTGTCCTGTATTCATCCTGTTTAATGCTTGGTGTTTTTTTTTTTGTTTTCTCCCACAACTTCTGCTTTGTAGACTATAGTGTCTGCGATGAGCACTTTAATACCCCCTGTCCCGCTAGCCAACCCAGAGGACCAATTCAGAATCGAATACATCAAAAGCATAGCACCTCTCTCTGACTTTGACTATTCACAGGTAAGATGTTTGTCAAGTTTCTCTGAGATTGTCTGTGCACAGAATTGAATATGTGTGTGAGAGAGATAACAAAAGAGGAATTGGGATGGTATCACTTGTTTTTCTTAATGTGCTTATGTGGGTGTAACATTGTTTGTGATGAGAGTGTGTGCTGTTCTTAGGAGTCCTATGTCCAGCTAGTGTTGTATAGCTCAGGGGTGCAGATGTACGTTTGCTATCACAGAACTAACGCTTCCATATTTACTCATTTTTGAGATTTTGAGGTTCTTTAACAAACATAAGTTCTTAATATATGAAGTTATGAATGGAAATGTCAACTAGTGTGAAATCAGCAGTTAGTTGATTGAGTCCTTATTTAAGGTTTGATTTCCCATTGTAGCTGGAGCACATGAGCTGTACGTGGATTTGAATGCAGGTTGGAGCACACGGGATTGTTTTCAGCGTGTGATCAGCCGTTCATGTGTTTGCAGAATTCAAGTATTAACGGTGCTGTTGTGTGTGAATCAAGTGCAGGGTTAATCTCCTTTTCATGTTTGTTGTATTGGACTTGACAACAATCTTTGTTCTCACCGTGTTGTAACTGAGGTACAGTACTACCTACTACTACCTTTTTCATAGGTTTATATTACTGTAAATATAATGTTTCTGAGTTTTGGACTGTTGACCTGACAAAACAAAACATTTGTATATGTCACATGGGGCCTTTAAAAATGCAGATTTTTGAAAATGTTCTTTATTTTCTAATATTTTAAAAACTAAACAACTAAACAATTGCAGCGCATCCTGTCTCATCTTTAGGAAGATATTTTTTTGTTTGCAGTTCACAATTAAACATGCATTTCTTTGGCTTCATATAGTGTATGACTATTTCAACAACGCCTCAAACACTGCATTCACATTGAGACCCAATTCTGATCTTTTTATCAGATTCAGTCTTCTTCTGTTTATGGTTCACATTCAAGACAATGCAAGAAATACTTATCCGGTTCTGGTGTGAACACCGCTGAACTCCTAAATTGCACTGACACACAAGCACTAACTCAAATGTGAGTTGTCAAAAAATAACATAATTTTGTGACAGGAATTCAGGCATATTCCCTCAAAAACTGCTTGGTAATGATGTGGTCCTGTTAGTTTGGCTTGATCAGAAGCTTCTGCATAAATTTTCAACAAAAGTAAAATGTCCTCATCTCTTCACTGACCCCCATCACTGTTGTTGCTCTCCATCCATCCATCTTTTATCTGTACCGCTCATCCTGTAGAGGGCCAGTCTGTCACAGGACTGACACTCGGAGACAGACAAGCACACACACGTTCTTGCTCTCCTTAATGTTTATTTTTAATTGGCCAGTGAATTTTGATCTGACCGCTCTGACAGCAGTCGCATAGTCAGAGACAGGATATGAATCACATTTCAGACCACATATGAAAGTGGCCCAGATCTGATTTGAAAACATTGAATTAGGTTTGCACACACGTTTGTTAAAGATCAGAACTGAGTCACTTGGAGGGAAAAAAATTATGATTTGAATAACTTCAGTATACAGTCTAAACATAGCCAAAGTTTGGCTAATGGTGAGACTGGGCACTCGGTGCTTCTTGGGTTCTTTCAGTCCTCATGTGTACTTCATTAAAAGATTGCTGTACTTTGTCCTTACAGTAGTATTTATTTGCATTGCTACTTTAAATCTTAGCATGATCATTCTCACCAGCTGTATTTCATGGCACATTGTAGGAATATCCATCAAAAGGATTTGGGTGTTAATTTCCTGACAGGCTCCTTAGAGTGTTAACAGGCAGCAGTAGTCTGTGATGCTGTGCTGTGTGAGGGCCTGGGCTGTGGGGAGAGCCAGTGTTGAGTTCCCAGGGCCCAATCCAGGCCAAAGGAAACAACATGGCTCTGTTTGGAGTGTGTCAGTGTCACCACTACATTGTCACCAGGCATGACATCCAATACAACAGTACAGGAACATGGCCAGTCAGTAACCCGTGGCTTTCACTTGCTGTTGCCGTTTGGAAATGGGGAAGCATATTTTATCTGGAAAGTTTTGGATTGATGATGTCATGGTGAACCAAAGTTTTTATCTATGCAATGTCAAAAAAAACACCAAAACATGTCTGCCAGTTTGTTAGAACCCCGCAATCCAAAACTCAAAGATAATTCAATTTACACTGATATAGAATGTAAAAAAAAAAACTGCAACTCTTTACATCTGGAACAGTAACTGTCAAACACCTTGATTATTTAGTCAGGTGTTTAGCAACACTGACTAAGTCTTGTCTGACCAAACATTGGTTTCTCTGCTTTCTGCCATAGTAAATGTTATTCCAAAAAGGTTTGAAATCATTGTTTGTTTGTTTTGTTTTGTTTTTTTACAAAACAGCACCCTCTATATAGTAGATATCATATATTGGATATCAGGTACTCCGCATGATCATGTGGCATGTATGCTTTTACAGTCAAGAAAAGTGAGTCTACGAGAACAGTGTCATAGTGTGCTGTGTCTGGTTATTCAAATAAGAAGGAAACGGGCAACAGAGTCATGGCAGCATTGTGTGTGCGCGCTTGAAGATGTTGTTGGTGGATTAGTGTTGCTTCTGTTCAGCAATTTGTTCCACTATGGTGTCTGCATGTTGATTAAAATTTATTATTTTTTTAAAGATTTATTTTTGGACTTGGTGAGTCGCATAGAGGCAGACAGGAAACAGGGAGAGAGAGAGAGAGAGAGAGAGAGAAAAAAAAACTATCGGCAGCCGGAGTCGCGAACCCCAGTGGAGTATACGGTGTGCCACGCCACAACCACTATGGCACCGGGTGCCCCCTGCATTTTCATTTAACATGATGACATTTGCTGTTGACGTTCAGCTGTCACAATCACATGAAATATCTTTTTGGACAGTCGCATAATTAGTTTTTAGCTAGTTAAATCAATGGCAAAAGTAGGGACTGGTTTTTAACACGGTAGTTTTAGGATGGGTTTTTTCTTTTAAAAATGAGATTTGCATGCCTTTTTGTGACTGGGAAGCCTCCCTTTATCCTCTATGTAAATAGACATGCTTAGGTTTAATGGCCTTTAGTGTTTAACATCAAAGCATCTTTTTCAAAATCCTTCTCCAGCATCAGCTTTGGAGAGCAGTAGGCCCATGGAAAGGAAAGAACAGATACAAACGGTCATCTATGCAAATGGAAACAAATGCCACTGGTAGCTATGCTAGACACCTGACAGCTTCTTTCAACTGAAGTGGGGCAAATTCAAATGAGCCCCGGCCCCTGTTTTGCACCAAGTTGCTTTTGCTTTATCATGTTAAATGTTAAAGATTACATTTACTGTAATTATACTGTAGTATTTGTTAACCGATAATGCTTTGTGTATATGCTCCCCATATAAAAAAACAAGGATTCGGTCCACAAAGGTTTGTTCTTTGCTTCAGGATATTAATGGATATTTGTTGTTATATTGCTGCGGAAGGTGAGCTCCTTATTACAGTATGTCCACACAACCCTTCACTGAAGTAATCTACATTTGCGTTTGGGTGCGGAATTGCTCTAATGAATTGTTTAAATCTCAAGCACACATCAGTGATGTGCACATCAGAAGTAGCCAGTGAGCATGTAACTTTATTTAGCGTTGTTTAATTTCAGTTTACAGACCAACTTGTAATTATGACTTTCTAGTAGAGAACATGACCTGGTTCTCCACCACAGCCATGAAGAGCAGCACCTCTGTAGCATTCCCCTGTTGGTAGCTTCTTGGTGAGTTCCTCATGATGAAGAGCATGAGTCCTAGATGTTTGTTTTTCCTCTAATTGATATACATGGGGAGCTGTGTGGCGCAAAGGCTGGCACTGCTCCGCTTTTGGAATCACGTTATAAAAGATGAATAGTTTCCCAACAGTTGCTGTTCTCTCTCTCTCCTTTGCTTTTACTCTCTTTTTAAAGCTAAGTTTGCCTGTACTCTTTGAGGTAACCCACATCAGAATTCTCTCTGCAGAGGGATTTGTGGTTATTGGTCATCACTGTACATTTTGCTCTAAGGCCAAATCTGCCTTCAAAACCTCACCCAAAGGAGTGTCTACTTGGAACTGAAGACGCAGGCCATTTGCTCCACAACTTTGTTTTGCTAAGTCTAATTAGATTTAGGCCATTTTGTTTGTGTTTGTTATTATGTCACAAACCCAACTTGATTAACCCTGAAACTATGAGAATCTGTTCTAGCAGAGACCCCACAGAATTGGCATCTCTGGCTGTTGATGGAGTGGAACTGCACTGGGAAGAGCAGAGGAAAGAGTTAAAAAAAAAAAAGCTTGTGTTAAAGCAAATTCCCTCTTGGTCTCTTTCTGTATTATCAGTTCCTCTGTAGGGCACTGAAGCACACACTGCATTTATTCAAAGGCCGAGTGTCACACGCCTCTGTGGAAAAGAGCCCTGAGGACCGCAGTCTGAGTGCAGAGTGTCATGTGGTGGTTCCAGGCTAGAGGAGGAGCCCCTCTGAAAGGCGTGCACAGGAGGAAACAAGCCTAATCATTGCTGGGAAATGTCTCAAAGTCATTGATAAGATGAGTTCCCCTCATACTGCTCCCCGCTGTCCAGGAGCAGGAAGTCAGCTGTAGCACTGAGACTGTCATCGATACCATCATGCCAATGGATGGAGATTACCTGCTCGTTAACGAGTTTATCTGAATTTGATCACATTTATGCTATGGCATCAAAGTGTACCATCTCTCCTCTATTGCTTCAGTTTAGAGATGAGAGATACGAGTTTGAAATCAGCAACTGCTGAATTAACCTACATCCGGGAAGTGAATGAGAGAACTCGGATCACCTCCCTTTGCTAATGCTAGAGAGGTGTAAAGTAGGGCTGCAGCTAATAATTCTTATCATTGATTAATCTGCCATTTTATTTTCTTGAGGTTTTTAATGACAGGCTTTTTAATGAGTCTTTGATGGTACCTCTCTGCTTTAAGATGTTTTGTAGCACATTTCAACTGAAAATATTAGGAAAAAATACATGTTTAAAATAATTACTCACTTTTATTTGACTGACCAATCAATGATTTTATTGTACTCCTTTTGGATATATTATATAATTAGCATTCCTAAAAAATGTCTATATTAACCTGTCAAGGAACCAAGTAAGTGTTGTGGTCTTCATAGAGGCAACAATGAGTTGAGTAGACTGCAGCACCAGTAATTGTTTTTACACTATGAATATAACTTCTGTGAAATTTAAAGGAATATGTCAACATTTTGAGAAATGTCCATACTTTTTTTTTTCTGACATGGGTCCCATGGGTGGTTTAGCTTAGCATAAATACTGGAAGCAGAGGGAAACAGCTAGCCTGCTCTGTTCACAGTGAAAAATGCCTACTCACAACTTTAAAGCTTATTAGTCAGCACGTTATGTGTTGTTTGTTTAATCCATACACAGACAGAAATGTAAAATCATCACTTTCTGGATTAGGGCAAATTTGTGCTATAACTTAAGTTCGTCCGGCCGGCAACAATTTTGTCCAGTGTCTCTTGCACAGATTGTCAGGTGGGGGTAGGTTCCTGTGTAGGCTTGATGGTACCCAACTTGACATACTCTGGGAAGCCATGCAAGTCCAAGGACTAATGGCAAGCCCCCATTAGCTGTTCGAAAATAATACTTGTTGAGTAAGATACATTTGTCCTCCTGCTGGTGATAATGCAACTCTCGAGACCCTGTCAATACTAGAAGACAGTGTTTGTGCTGGCAGCGGTGTGTATGTACTGTATGTGTTGTATATAACTGTGGTACTTGGTGTAGTTGAGAAATGGTGTGCTTGTCCCTCTCTTCAGTTATGTTCATACAAAATGGGCTCTAAAAATGTGCATTTTGTTTATTTAACCATCCACATATTGTGGCACCCCAAGATTCAACAGCACCACAGTTTATTTTTGGAGGTTTTAACAGTAGTAACAACATAATTACCTGTACTTACCCATATATTATTTACAAGGAATGTGACTGCTAACCTGTCACAGACGTAGATACTGGCGATTAAGCGGGCTCGGTTTGTCATTTGTGTGTAAGTGTAAATGAGTAAAATGTGTAGTTTTTAGGTAGCCATTTTTGTTAATTAAAATGAAGACATGTAAACTCTGTTTTAAATCAGTTTGTTAAAAATTTAGGCTATTATTTGTTCATGAAGTAAGTTTAGATGAGTCTTCCTTCAGGTAAAATATCTGTATGCGTAGTGTATCTGTCTCAGTTCATTTTGCAGTGTCTGCTTTAACAGTGTGAATTCAGGTTCCCTGACCCATCATGACCCTGCACTCCAGATCTTTATGGTATGGCTTATGTTATGGGCTTTTTTCCCTCTCTTTCAGGAGTTCTTTGATCATGCAAAGAAGCTGTGGGATGATGAAGGAGTGAAGGCATGCTTTGAGAGGTCCAATGAGTACCAGCTCATCGACTGCGCACAGTAGTGAGTTCAAACTTTAAAAGATATTTTGTGGTATTAGATTGAGCTTTAGATACTTACACGTTTACAGAAGATTGTTCATAACTGCTTAATATATGTAATCAGTTATCTGTGCATCCATAACAGACTGAGAGCAAGATGGTTTATTGACACATCCCTGCTTTGTCCATCTGCTTTGTGCTGTGGTTGCGGTGAAAGCTCTGCAGTGTGTGTTGGTTTCATGTCATATGTGACTATGGTTGAGATATGTTTACTCTGGGTGTGGCAATGCAAGCAACAGTTGTATTCATCCTTTTGAAAATTATATATACGTGTGTACATATACACTCACGTCAGTGTGTTTGACATATCACCATGGCAATATGCAAAGATTGACCTGTATTAAAATGGCCAACTGTTGAATTTATTGGGATTGTACTGATCTAGCTTTTGTCTACACAGCTTTAAAAATGTTGTAGTTAAAAGTATTTCTCATTTCAGTGCTGGCAGTGGAAATGAGCAAGTTGTGGAGTTAGTGGACTCAGTTTTTGTGTCTGCCTGGACAAATCTATGTAGGTCATGATTCTGACTATCACCTGTACAAGGTTTTCGTAATACAGTTGTACTTCAGATAGAGCTGTTATGAAATACTGATCACAGCAGTGTGGCAAGGTGCAGAAACAGATGCCTCTTTGCCCTGTGCTCAAGATTGTTTAGAAGGCTCCTGCAGTACCTGGGGCCACCATAGGGTGCTGGTTGCACACAGTGGAAGGCCCCTCTGTTGCCTGTAAAAGGAAGTTTGGATATGCAAAGTGCTTCACTGATTACAGTGTTCTCCTTCTGCTTCCTCTCTAACTCACCTTTGTATTCACATGTAAATATGAGGACATGTACATTGTACAGACTTAGGAGTGCAGCTCACTGGAAGATGTCCCCTCCCATCCTAAAGGTTTGCTCCCTCAGGGTTGGGTCAAAGGCGCACTTTATCATTGACTGGGGATATTGTCTTGTTATCAGTGATCTGTGAGCCCGCATTACATGGGTGAGCATTGAATATATACATATATATATATATATATATATATAAAAGATATATAGCATGGGGTCAAATGTAGACAAATGGTCTCTGTACTCTTTTCCTGAATATCTTCCTTTCATTGAACATAAATTTGACTTCAGGTCAAGTCTTCCCTGACTGCCCTGCCTGAGAGCAGCTTACATAGAAAGGAGAGAGATAGTCAGGGGATGGTTGGAGAGTCACATGAGTCTGTAAGGTGGAGCTTTTACAGTCCAGGACCTATGTTTGTCTTTGCTGCTCTGAGTTGCTCTGTGTCTGTGTGCACTACAGCGGCATGTTGTTTATTTCAGTCATTAAAAACAATTAAACATAAAAAAAACCCTTTTTTCTTAAATCCTTATTGCAACTCTGGAAACACAGTGGTCTTCTGTATATTGAAATCAGAAGGAATATTCACATTTTTAATAACAACTGAACTCACTGGGGCTTGCAACTAACTGAAGCACTCTAAAGACAACTGTCCTCTGACATGAGTAAACATTGAGAGAGTGAAATGAAGACAGTGAAAAGCATACAGTCTTTAAATTGAGAGGTACTGGTTTATATGTAACTAGTGTGGTGTAGTGCCTAATTTCCTCTGCATCCGTCTGTGTTGCATTCTGTCTGTGACCCGATTTTGATCCGTCCTCTGTGCAGTTTCATCCCCCACTGGGTCTGTATACAGAGCGTCTGCATAATGGCTCGTTGTGGTGCAGTTTTTTTATGTAGGATATTGTCCTTCATTCTTGAAATTCTACAGTCAGGCTTTGTCGTTAAATTGTTTCTTTTTTTTTTGTCTGTTAATTGTGTTTATTGTTCTTATTTTCTACTTTGCTGTCGACTTATTTCCTACTTTGTTGCAGAGTCATTTGGTCAGTGTTGAAAAGGTGTCACTGACCACGGATGCATGGACAGCACTTACAACTGAATCGTATGGTGCAGTCACCTGCCATTATAAAAACAGCTGGAACATACAGAGTGCTGTTCTTCAGACTAAAGTCATGCTGAAGTGGCAGACTGCTGAAAACCCAGCAAATATGCCTTCCACTGCCTCAGAACACTGGGGACTTGCAAGTAAAGTCACAGCATGCATGCATGACAATGCTATCAATATGGTCCTATATTGTGTGTGGGAGGTCTTCGAATAATTGTCAGATAGTTTGGCGACTCTAAATTGCCCACATTAGTTAAATAGTTAATCAGTATATACTGTACACACACACACATATACACACACACACATATATATATATATATATATCCCACTTTGGGTTGCATCAGGAAGGGCATCCGGCATAAAATGCGTGCCAAATGTATACATGCAAACAGTTGATTCACTGTGGCGAGTCCTAACGGGAAACAGCCAATCTTAGTAGTAGTTCCCAGCGAATAGCATTTTAGCTTGAAATTCCCATCTCTAGCATGAACTGTTGTGGTTGAAGGGCATTCATAGATGCTCGGTCCTACATGGCAGAAGATTTGTCTGTGTGTAAAAGCTCACATACACACTCCTATTGTTGTTATGACTACTTAAGTGCACCAACTGTTCTCACTCACTACTCTGGAAGACGGCAGACAGCCTCAGCAGCCAACTGGGTTGAAGAGAAGGAAGCGGAGTCATAGCTTTGGATTCAGGCTGTATCAGTTTTGGTATTTTGGTATTAATAGTGTTTGGCGAACATGTGTTGTGCTGTTCTGAAACTGCAAACCAAGCTTCTGTGATCTGGATTTGCGGTTCCGTCTGCGGGAACCACAGACTGAATTGGGTAAATTACAGTTAGATTATATTATTAAAACATTTATGTGCAGGTATTTCATATATTCTTCCACAAATCCGTTTACTAAATGATTCTTATTAAAGTGCATTCGCTTCTTTAGTGGTCCACATTGTTGGTGATTTATTTAAACACTGAAAGAAAGGGGGGAAAAACTATTTGGTGAACTGGTACATCCCTACACATTTGACAAAAAGCATCTGAACCCTCTTATAAATCTATAATCAGTCCAGGTAGTTGTCATTTTATCTTTTACTTTTCTTTACCTGCCCTCTATCTTTTTTTATGTATTGAACTACCACAGACGTGTGCTTGTGTAGCAGGTCTTGGATCACAAATGTGATAACAGTGCTTTCGGTCACTAAGAGTAAATTAAAGAGGAAGTTGGCCTACATGTGGCTGTTAGTGAGAGGAACAGATTGGTAGGCTGAAGGCTTACATGCTAACTGCTAAAGACAATAGATATATTGTCATGATATCACTGTCAGACCAAACGGGAAGACATTTTAGTCAGATATGGCTTTATGTCATATTTATATTGTGTGCATGGAATCTGAGAGGTTATGGGCCTCTACCATATCATTAGTGTTGTCTTTCACAGACCTTGCTCCACTGGCAGATAGACACAGGAAATAAGTACGGGCCGATGGTGAGTGCTTGCCATGTCAAAGAGCATGTCTGTATTGATGCCTTTGGAATCCTGTCACCCATTGATCTGCCCTCTGCATTGCACATTTATATGTTTTAAGAGCACAGATATGTGTCTGCCAGTTGATAGATTATGAGCTATTTTCAGCTGCAGCAGGCTGGTTCCATTGCAGTGCTTTGGATGTGTCAACAGCAAAATCAAACACGTTTTCACATGCAAATTTGAGCTCCCAGGCCTCTTGCTTTTTCTTTTTTTTTTTGTTCTCTTTGGTGAGTGCTTGTTCCAGTTCTCCAGCAAATATGACGGTTCATGACACAGTTCATATACTAAGGTGTTTCTGACTATAGTGTGTGATTGTTCTCTGGTGTTTGATATGAAGCTGTCGCTGGGATGCCAGGCTGCAGAAGTAGCGACTGAGCCAGAGGAGAGCTTCACTGGATGGAGGTGGTGCTGGAGTCAGGGAGTGTAAAGTAACTCAAGAAAGGCGGCTATGAAACAGCTTAGCAATACAGCTAGGGTTTATTCCTGCAGTGAGAATGAGGCCTGAGACAGAGCTGAAGCTGTCATAAGTCATAATGATGAAAAACATTCATGAATTTAAATGCAGATTATCATAGCAGAAAGTGACATCCTGTTTTGTCTGACCAAGTTCATAACCCAGCGATATTCAAATTAAAATTACATAAAACAGGGAAAAGCAGCAAGTCTCAATCAGAATGTCGCTTTACTTTGTTACCACTGACATGTAGTCTATAACTGCAGAGCAGAGCCTTACATGTGGCTGCAGAGAGTGTCAAGTTAATGATTCAAAGGTAAGCTACTATATTAAAATATGAACACACAGGTCACTTCAGACATGTTAGCAAACACCCAGAGATCAGAAGATGGCCATCATATTAGCTGAAGCAGGAAGAAACGATGCATCTTATTGGTGACAGAAAAACGCAGCAGTGACATGCAGTTGGTGTATAAATATTGCTCTCTCAGGCTATTCTGTGAACAGAAGAGGCTCCTTATTGAGCAGAGCCACTGTTTGTGAAGCGTAGCCCCTCTGTTTCTGCAGGCCCTTCAGGGCCCAGGGCTGGCTGACAATGCCAGCCATTCTTAGCACTTCACTGATCCAGATGACTGTGTCAGTGGCCCCCAGGCTGGTGGCAGAGTTCCATGACCAGTACTACACCCTAGCCTCAACCCCAGCCTTGAATATGTCTATCCACAGCCCAGCCCCATCCTCAGGACTCTGGAAGACCTGCCCCATACCAGGTATACTTCTCCATGGTGGACCATCTATACATCACCACCACCAATTCAAGATGCTACTTTAACATTCTGGGCTACTGTTGAAGCACGGCCTCCGTGATGGGGCCCCACTCCATGTAGATGAAGAAAATACAGTGATTGTTTTCAGGCGATTACACACAAATGAAAATCTAATTATAATTGTAATGCAAAAACTTATTTCTGCCGACAGATCCCTCTAAACCTTACACACCACACCTTTAACTGAAATATTTACTACAGCAGAATTTACATCATAATTAAA